TACTCAGGAAAAATGCCGCAGAAACTGTTGTGATGTTGAACACAACTTACAAGGACAGGGCTATGGGGAAAACTGAAGTGTACGAGGGGTTTTCTCATTTCAAAACAGGTGAAATGTCAGTTGAAGACAAACCTCGTTCTGGATGTCCGTCAACTTCCAGAACAGATGAAAATGTCGACAAAATCCGTGCAATTATGCTGAAAGACCGATGACAACGACGGACCATTGAAGAGATGGGCGAGTTAGCTGGACTGCATCGGAGCGTGGTTCTACTAATTTTAATGGAAGATTTGGGAATGAGAAGAGTTGGTGCGCAATTTGTGGCTCAGGTTCTGGCTGATCAGCAGAAAGAGGTTGAGTGGAAACATGGCGTGTTTGAAAGAACAGCTCCAAAGCGACCCAGACTTTTTTCCAAGGTCATTATTGGTGATGAGACATGGTGCTAGTCTTCTGACCCTTACAGCATGCATCAGTCAAGCCAGCGGATGACGCCATTGTCACCTCAAACCCCAAAAGCTCGTCAAATGAAATCAAAGATCAAGAAGGTGCTCTTTATTTTTTCCTTTTTTAAATGTGAAGGGGATAGTGCTTTTGAAGTTCATTCCACCAGGTCAGACTAGTAATATTCATCAAACTTTCTATTCAGAGCAGTGGTTCTCAACCTTCCTAATGCCAAGACCCTTTCATACAGTTCTTCATGTCGTGGTGAGCCCCCAGCCATAAAATTATTTTCGTTACTACTTCATCGCTGTCATTTTGCTACTGTTATGAATCGGGAGACCCCTGTGAAAGCGTCATTTGATCCCAAAAGGGGTCACAATCTACAGGTTGAGAACCGCTGATTAGAGGTTCTGAGAAGCTAGCAAAACTGCCACAAAGAGGGTCTGATTTGTGGCAGACGGGACTGGTTTTGCCACCATGACAATGCACCTGCTCATGCAGCCATCTCAGTGTGCCAGTTTTGGGCAAAAACCAGCATGCCTCTCTTGCCCCACGCACCTGACTCACCTCCTCTCATCACACGCAGCTTCATTTTGTTTCTGCGAATGAGGGACACAGAAGAACCACGGTTTGATGACAGACAAGAGGTGAAGAAAGAAAGGAGCGGGGTACTGCCAGCCATACACACAGATTGATTTGAAAAATGTTCCAAGAATGGAATCACAGATTTGACAAGTGTATTAAGTGTAGTGGAAGGTACTTTAAAAGTGATACGGCTGTTTTGTAATAAAACAAGCAAAGATCGCTTTGAAAAAAAATCCGTTTTTGTTGTTTTTGGACAGGTACCCCCCTTGTATGCATACGAGTCATTACCCAAAATTATCGGAAAACGTTTATTCCCTGAGTGGGCATTGCTTCATGCTGCCAGATTGCTTTCTTTTTTTAGAAAATCAGTCTATTGGGGCTCATACAACTCTTAACACATCATACGTCCATCCATTGTGTCAAGCACATTTGTACACTCATTGCCCTCATCATTCCCAAAGTATTTGCTCTCCACTTAAGCCCTTGGTATCAGCTCCTTGTTTTGCCCCCTCCCTCCCTTCTCCCCCTCCTTCATGAACCCTTGATAATTTATAAATTATTACTATTTTGTCATGTCTTATACTGTCCAATGTCTCCCTTCACCCACTTTTTTGTTGTCTGTCCCCCAGAGAGGAGGTTATATGTCAATCCTGGTAATCGGTTCCCCCTTTCTACCCGACCTTCCCTATACCCTCTGGTATCACCACTCTCAGCACTGGTCCTGAAGGGATCATCTGTCCTGGATTCCCTGTGTTTCCAGTTCCTATCTGTACCAGTATACATCCTCTGGTCTAGCTGGATTTGTAAGGTAGAATTTGGATCATGCTAGTGGGGTGGGGTGAGGGGGTGGGGGTAGAGAGCACTTAAGAACTAGAGGAAAGTTGTATGTTTCATCATTGCTACCCTGCACCCTGGTTGGCTCATCTCCTCCCCGTTACCCTTCTGTAAGGGGGTGTCCAGTTGCCTACAGATGGGCTTTAGGTCTCCACTCTGCACTCCCCTCATTCACAATGATTTGGTTTTTTGTTCTTTGATGCCTGAGACCTGGTCTCTTCGACACCTCGTGGTCACACAGGCTGGTGTACTTCTTCCATGTGGGCTTTGTTGCTTCTCAGCTAGATGGCTGCTTGTTTACCTTCAAGCCTTTAAGACCCCAGATGCTATATCTTTTGATAGTCGGGCACCATCAGCTTTCTTCACCACATTTGCTTATGCTCACATTTGTCTTCAGCAATCGTGTCCAGAAGGTGTGCAACAAGTGATCCAAAATTAGTGGCAAGGAGGGTATAAGAGGCCTGGTAGGGATTCCGCAAGGGCAATGTAACCGAGAGCAATTAATGAAACCCAAATGAAGGCTGAGAATGATAGTGGGACAAGAGGAAAGTAAAAGGAAATAGAGGAAAGAACTAGGAGGCAAAGGGCATTTATAGAGGTCTAAATACAGCCATGTACATATGTAAATATATTTATGTAGGATGATGGGAAAATACATCTACATGAATATATTCAATGCAAGAACACTTTGTCCTTTTAAATTGGCATTCCAAGATGCACACCTTTGCGACACCATCACTGAAGACAGATTGCTTTCAAAAGGCCGTTTCATCATTACCAAACATTTGTAAATGCATCCATGCCAAAACATCCTAACAGCACTGCATCGACCTTCAAATGTCCACTCTGGGGAGAGACAGCTGATGCTTGCAGTGGATTTTGTGACTGCCAGGCTCATTGTGAACACTCGGTGAAGGCAGAGGGCACTGTGGCATGAATAACGAGAGAATTGATGGACTAGTAAAGCTTCACTGATTACCTTGTGTGACCAGGTTATGATGAAGGCAGGTGCTCTTCGTTCAGAGGAAAGGGCGATTTCCCTTAGTTGGGACGCCCGGTGAGGCTTCCTTCAGAAAAGAGGATCTGAAGTAACACAGGAAGGATTGAAAGAGGAAAATCTGAATAGCAGATGAGGTGTGTCAGCATGGGTCCATTGACACAAAACCACACAGCAATTTAAATTGGACGTTTAATATAGAGATTGATTCTTAAGTTGGGAGTAGATAATAACAATAAAGATGCAACACCCTTCACACACACACACACACACACACACACACACGAAAGACAGCCTAGGGTTCAGGGAAAGTAACAAAGAACACACTTGGAACAAGATCTCAAACTTCAATGACGAAGGTGTGGTTACAACCCAGTTGGGGCGGGAGGGGAGGGGCGGGTAGAGAAACTTGCAGAGGTGCCTGCGCCAGAGCTGACCCACAGTTAGTGTGTCAGCAAGTGAGCCAAGACTGGTGGGAGCTGTACAAAGGGAGCCAAGGCACCACTGAGCCCAGCAACCTGTGTAGAATTTGTGTCAGAAGGGCCTCAGGACAGTCCCCAGCTCTCGGGCAGCATGAGGCTAATAGGTAGGCACATTGCCCCGGGCCAGGGCAATATGCCAATATTCCTACCTTCCAAAAATCTGATAACAAAAAATGTCTCCACTTATTCCTAAGTGCCCTCTGAGAATAAAGCTATCTCCAGTAAAATGCCAGGGTACTGGATAAGTCTGGGGCTGAAGGGCGGAGGGAGGAAATAGAGCAAGCGCTCCAGGAACCTTTAGAGAGAACACATGGAAACCAGTAAAGAAAGCTCCATCCTTGGTGGCACAGTGGCTACTTGTTGGACTTCTATCCACAAGGTTAGTACTTCGAAACCACTAGCTGCTCTATGGGAGAAAGACAATGCTTTCTACTCCCTTAGTAAAGAGTTACAGTCTTGGAAACACCCTCCCACCCGCACAAGTTCTATCCTGTCTGAATTTACCCCATGGCAGTGAGTTTGGTTTTCTATTATGTCTCTCCAGCACCCTCTAGTGACAAAGCTTAACATAAGCTGGCAAAGGGAAACTATTTAAAGGGCTCAGATCCATTTTTCTAGTTCAGGCAATGAAGGAATCAACTGCCCATTACCTTACAGAAAGCATTCTGGAAGTGGTTGGGAAGGAAAATCTGAGCAAAATTACAGGATTTGGAAACTGTGAGAACACTGAGGAAATGCATAGACAAGACAACCTGTAGTACAAGGTTAGTCAAAGAGGAAAACCCTACAAAGGTCCATTGAGTCTCACTTAATTTAGGAGGGCTTGGAATGAATGGAGAAGTGGTCGATCGAGGAAAATGGAAGCACATAGTACTGTTGATGGTCATAGGGAAGGCCAGGGTGGAAATGATTTAGCACTGCATTTTTGCATACACCTAGATTATTTAGGAAGTTGCTTGCATTATTTTCTCATATCTTAGAATATCCCCACCCCGACATATTTCATAATTTAACAACGTGATATTATAATACAGTGGACTTGATAGTTACCAATAATACTGTATATAAAACATGCTTACAGAATTTGGGACACAAAGGGGTTAATAGGAAAGAAACGAGCATATAGTGAAATGAGGACGAGACAATAAAGGTGTTCACTGTTCCTCATACAGTTCTGTCTCAGAAAACTACAAAACTCAGAAAACTGTCTCAGAAAACTCAGAAAAGGGCATTCAGGCCATCACCTCTACATTGCTTTTCCTTGACATTCTTCACTCGGTGGAGGTAGTGCATTGGTTTTCACTGGAAAAGCACACAGCTGTAAGTGAATTCCAGACGAGAAAAAGCGGGCATGTTATCCATGGTTGTGATCCATCTATACTGGAAAGGAAAGATGTGGGAACAATCAATTCAATTTTGATTCCAACCCCTTTGTGGTTTTTGTCAAATATGTTTTTTTGTTTCTCTTTAGTCTTGTAGTTTGCTTTCCTTTCATTGTGATCCTACAACCCAGAATTGCTGAATAGTCTTGCACTTCCTGTATCTGTTTGTGGCATCTCCTCCTAATGATATTGAAAGTTATGTGTTTCATTCTTGAATATTTTCTTCAGCTCGGGTAGTACCTGATCACCTGGGTTTGTTTGTTTCCCCCCCTTATTTAGACATGGACTCTGAAATCAAGGAAGAAGTCCCTGTGCAGGAGAAAGTCGTCCTTAGCGGTGGGGTTGAAACCCTCCTTCTACAATGTGGGCCATGGACTGACCTCTTTAGTGATCAGGGTGCCTCCAGGCCAAAGGTGCTAATTTTAATTATTCCTGGTAAGTATGAAGATCTGGATAAGGAGATTTTACATGAATATTTATAACTTTCTAATTTTTAAAACTTTATTACAAGTTAATTAAAGAGAATATGACAAATATAGGAAAATTTATAGAAGGAAAAGCATCAGTCAATCCATTTATTTATAGCTACTATTCTTAATACTTTGATGGTTATTTTCATTTTTAATTTTCTTACTTACATCATTATGTATATTATATTGTTAATGTGTGTGTGTGTAATTTGGGGGCTCAAACTTAGAAGCATATCAAGTATACAGTTTCAGATCTGATTTTTTTCCTTTAACAAAACAGAATATGATTTTCTCAAATGTTTTTTAGATAGTTTCTAAATAAGTTTTTTCCCCTCCCATTTAAAGATGGTTATATCAATTGCAGCATGTTTATTTTGCGTTTTGGTTCACTGGATTTGACAGCCAGGTCTCTTGTGACCTTTGGTGGGTCACTGAATTGGTCACTGGCTTGCAGGTATTTGAAGCACTTTTTAAATTGCGAGTGAGTTTGAACATATATATCTATCATTCATTTGTGTTGTTTGTTCCATGAACTGCTTGCACATTCTGCAACCGTGTCATCAATTTTCCTTTGTTCATTTGTAGCAAACAACCTTTTTTAATATTTAGAGTAAATTTGTGCTTTGTTTAATTGTGTGTGGCAAGAATCTTTCCTGGCTAGTCATCGACTCCTTCGTAACATTGATTTGACTGTGGACAGAAAGTCCACAAGACCCGAGATGCCTCCTCCAAGGAGAGCCAACCTTCTTGATATGGATAAAGTAAAGCTTTCGGGATCTTGGTTTATTTATGTGGCACAACTCCAAATAAGAAACCATTGCAAGCATCCATTAGTAATCAGAATGTAGCATTTATGAAGTATGGATCTGGGAAAATTGGAAGTTGTCCTAAATGCAATAGAACATTTAAAGATGGATACCCTCAGCATTAGTGAGTTACAATTGCCTGGGATTGACAATGTTGAATCAGACTATTTATATGAACTCTTGTGCCAGGACTGAAAAACTGAAGAGGAATGGCATCATATCCATTGTCAAAAAGACATTTCAAACTTCATTCTGAAGTACAACACTATCAAGATAGCACAAAGTAGTCCAGTCAATATAGGACAGCTGTGCGCATATACACACCAAACACTAATGCCATAAAGTGAAGATGTTTATCAACTTCTGATGTCTGAAATTGATCAAACATGCACTCAAGATGCATGGGTACTTTCTGCAGATTAGAATGTCAATGTTGGAAACAAAGGAGGTGAATAGCAGACAAGGTGGCCGTGGTGATAGAAATGACTCTGTAGGTTGTGTGATAGAATTTTGCAAGACCTACAACTTATTCATTGCAACGGCCTTTTCTCTCTCCTTTTTTGACCTTTTACTGTGAACTGAGTAAAAGAAATAACTTTTTTAAAACAGCGTATGCTACGGTTAGACATATGTACCTGACTGGATGGAATAGGAATCAACTCAACTCCCTCTTTAGAAAGAGACTATAGAGAAGCTCACCATCTTCCTTCAGAGCAAGGCCAGGGGCAATTTGTGGGACAGACCCTCAATCATTCATATGCATGTTTAAACTGAAGCGGAGGCAAATGAAAATAAGTCTAAGAGAGCCAAAGTATGACCTTGATCACCTCAACCCAACAGACACCCCCACCAGAGAGATAAGGAAACCTTACAGGAAATTCAAGTTCAGAAGGGGATGGGGAGGACATGGATGTCTCAGAGAAGGCAATTACATCTTTGATGGTAGGAAAATGGGGAGGAGCAACCTCCCATTGGGAAAAATCTCTCAACAATAGTATGTGGAATCCACGGGGAGAAGGTGCAGTACTGGGTTCCTAATTGGACACGTTGGACCCAGTTTCTCTCAGCCTTGGGGATCCAGTCCCTGTGCTATAGGCCATTGGGACTTTAGATTCTGTTCTTTCATGGCACACAACATCCTTCATAGGCCACCCCAAAGTACTCAATGTGGAAGTCCTACTCCATGGCCGAGAGTCCACCCATATGCTAATTTACTAGATTCTCTTGGGGAATTTATGAGAAGACGTGGGCCCTTTTCTCCCACATATGGGAATCACCTGATGTGGATTTATTGCTTTGTATAATCTTAATCTAAGGTCCATCTTTTTTTCTTTTTCAGGTAACCCCAGTTTTATTTCCTTTTACTTGACATTTGCAAAGGCTTTGTTCTCTTTGATAAACGGACGTTTTCCAGTTTGGACTGTCAGTCATGCCGGGCATTCCTACATCCCCAAAGACAAAAAGATACTTGGAGCCTCAGATGGTATGTTCTTGCTAACATTTGCTTTCCTTTACAGCGAGCAGGTATTCCTCTTTCTACAAATTTTACTAAGATAAAAATTTGCACTAATAGAAACCTGGGTTTGTGGGATTAAGCCCATGCTGCCATGTTTTGGTAATACTGCAGATTTTTAGAAACATTTTAATTCTTGAAGTCATTTTCTAAAATAATTTTAACAAATCAACTAGCTGTTCTTTGACTTACCTTTTTGTCTGTTTGCTTCTTTTACTGATTCGTAATCACCTATATATTTCAGTGTTGTGCCAAGATGAATGAGAGTGAAAAGGTAATATAAGTTGTGGTCTTTAAAAGAACTCACAATATCAACATTTAGAGAATGATTTAAATGACTGGACTGCTGAGCATGTGGACGCTGAGAGCGTGAACATAGTAACGCATGTGGTATGGGCTAAAAAGGACTGTGGAATAAGCAGGCAGGTTTTGACAAGTTTGAGTAGTTTCACTTTGAGAGTGGAGGGAAGACAGAGGTGTACCAGGTAGGAAAAGCAACAGAGGGAGCAAGGCTTGGAAAGTATGATAATGGAGGCCAAACTCAGGGAATCTTGGAATCTGGCTGAGAGCTACCACTCTACTTGGTAAATAGCTGAATGCCTGTAAGTAGACGAAGTGGTACCGAGTTATCGGTTACTTTCATTTAACTTGTGAGCACTTACTATGTTCATGCTGCCAAAAAAATCAAAAAGAGATAGAGAAAGAATGAGAACTGTTGGGATTTCATTCACGGGCCTTCTGTTTTTTGGTTTTTTTTAATCATTTTATTGGGGGCTCGTACAGTTCTTATCACAATCCATACATACATCCATTGTGTCAAGCACATATGTACATTTGTTGCCATCATCATTCTCAAAACATTTGCCTTCTACTTGAGC